ATCTGTTGCTTGCTGTGCCCCAGAGGCTACAGATTCGGGCTGCGTTCCCGTGGCCAGTGAGCTGTGTGCCTGATGCAGGACTTCCTCTGACTGCCGGCCATAGCTAACACACATCAGTGTTGCCTGTGTGTGCTGATTCCAGTTGTACGCGCTGTGTGGAAACGAAGAGGTACATGCGGAGCTGCAGGTTTTGTGTGGGAAAGTTGCTTCCGGTTCCAGGGTAGCCAGTGGCAAGTTTTGGAACTGACGGGCTGGGAAGCACAGCCCCGTGGATTCTCCCGCCCGGAGACCCAGGCTTGGGCTGCATCCACACTGCAACATGCTTGGGGTCTGACCCAGCCACTGGCAGTCAAGAGAAGTTGGCCTGCATCCAGCTAACTTCTGTGTAGACGGAACAAGGGCTTGGGCTTGGATCTGAGTTTGAGTCTGGGCTCCATGTGCTGCGTAGACAGACTCACAGTCAGGCGCGACTGCAGATTGTTCTGCCCTTACGACCTTGCGTACTGGAAGCCTCTCTTCCAGGGTTGGCACCTACATCAAGGAGCCGGGAGAGGGGTTCTGGATAAAGGAAGAATGAGTGCACCGGCTGCATGGAATGGGGTGGGTGTATTAAATGCCCTCGGCTGACTCTCTTGCCTCGTTCACTGATCAGCCCACGCTGTTCCCCTGGCTGCTGCCCCCAAGCAGCCTGCTGGCATGTGAAATGATCATACACTTGGTCCCCCTCCCCCTCGCCGGGGGGTAACCGAGTGACTGCAGTAAGCATCGAAAGACGCATTGCACATGGATGGCAGCGCTCTGCTGGGACGCTCAGAGCAGCACCCCGCAGCCCTGCGAGCCTGAGCGTAATTCCTCGTTACTTGTTAGGGTGACCTGCAGAAGGCAAACCAGCTGGGGCTGGGGCCGTCTTGGTTCTCTACGGTGTTTACAGAAAGGCTGGCCAGTTATTCCCCTGGTGTGTGTGTTACAGTAGAAATTCATCTGCTCTCCGGCGGAATGGGCAGGCAATGACACCCCATTCGCTGAGAAGGTGAAGTAGTTTGGACTTGTCGGCTGAGAGCTCTTTAGCTCTTCTCTCACACTGACCTCAGCTCCTTGGAAAGTATTCATCCCAGTTGCAGCAGCTGCATATTCTTGATATTTCTAAGGAAAAACACTGGTTAAAACCCCCTCTTCCTTACATATTTTTTAAGCTTCAAACTCTTTCAGGCCTTCCTTAAAGCCATAAAGAAGCACACACAAAATGACACAGCCCCAATCCCCCTCTCGCCCCATATGTCACCTTCAAGCACTGACCAGAAGATATTATACCCATTTTCCAGCTGGGAAAACTGAGGCACAGAAAGGGGAAGTGATGTGTCCGAAACCACCCAGCAAATTCAGTGTCCAATGGAGGAGTAGGCCCCACATGTCGCCTTCCCAGCCCACTAGTCCAACCACTAGACAAACAGGCCAGGGTGATGTTGATTGTAGGGTGTAGGTAAGGTCCAAGAGGCCCGTAGCCGAGAGCGAGGGTACAGTGTGCTACAGCCAGGGAAAGGAGGCAGAATGTGGACTGCCAGTTCCCTTGGAAAACCTTGTCTGTCCCTAACTGATAATTAGGCCATTTCCTGTGCTCCACGCCAGTCTCTGACATGCTACGAAGCTGCGTGCAGCTCTGAAACAATTGAAAATGAAGGGGATGCCCTCAGGGAATGTGAGTGAAAAAAGGAGAGTGAGCGTGTGTGTGTTTAGCTGCTAGTGAAGATACACGAGGGAGTCAGCTAGAAACTGAAGTCTTCCAAGCAGTTCCGTAATTATTCCAAAGAGGGGGCAAAGGTCAGCCCCAGAGGTCTGCGTCCGGGCAGGGAGAAGGGGCAGAGAACACTCAGGAATGTCTGCGGAGGGACAGACCGTCCCAAACCAGCTGCACCTGCAGAGAAGGGCAGGGAAGGCTCTGGAAGGCCAGGGCCTAGACAGGAGGTGGGGAATGCTCCAGAACATCTGCACCTGGCGGGCTGGGGTAGAGAACGTTCTGGAATGCCTGTGCCTGGGGGAGAGGGGCAGAGAATGTTCTGGGATGTCTGTGCTTGAGGGGAGGGGCAGAGAATGTTCTGGAATGCCTGTGCCTGAGGGGGGAGGGGCAGAGAATGTTCTGGGATGTCTGTGCTTGAGGGGAGGGGCAGAGAACGTTCTGGAATGCCTGTGTCTGAGGGGGGAGGGGCAGAGAATGTTCTGGAACGTCTGTGCTTGAGGGGAGGGACAGAGAATGTTCTGGAACGTCTGTGTCTGAGGGGAGAGGGGCAGAGAATGTTCCAGAAAGTCTGTGCCTGAGGGGAGGGGCAGAGAACAAAACAGATTGGCTGGGGGGAGGGGCAGAGAACACGTCTGTGCTAGGGTGGAAGGAAGTGCTTGATGAATCACGTGCCATGTCAGCTCCTGTATTTGTGTTTCCAGCCCTCCCCCCCCCCCCCTTCACTGGACTCTCCCTTGGCTGCTGTGGCCTTGCAGCCTGGCCCCCTCTCTCTGGACTCTCCGCCCGTCTCCTGCTGTTCTAAAAGAAACCAGAGGTGTTTCTCCGGCAACCGACCGACTCTCCTGAAGAAGACATAGCAGCTAAAGCAGCTGCTGCAGCAGGCAGACTCCCAGGAAGGCAGCCCTCTCCCTGCAACACCCCCCCCCAGGTGCTCCCCACAGCCCCCCCGTGTCTCTTGGCCTGGCTAACAGGCGTGTAAACC